TTTAGAAATACTTGATATTACTAATTTTATGATTTTTGTCAAATAGATGGATGAAATTTTAATGAGCATTTTTTTCTGATTACTAGTGAAGTCCTGGTGTGGTGGTGCTGTGGGTTAATGTGCTGAACTACAAGGTTGGTTTCAACCTCAAGGTTGGTGGTTCAAGCTCACCAGCTGCTCCTCGGAAACCCTATACAGATCGCTACAGGTTGGAACTGACCTGACGGCACCCAACAACAACTAGAAAAGTTGAGCATATTTGTATATTTATTAGTCATTTTTGTTTCCACTTCTGAGAGATGCTGTTCATACCTTTTGTCTATGTTACTACTGGGTCCCATGACTTTTTCTTCAGTATTTACAAGAGTTTCCCACATATTTTGGTCATTCATTTACTTTGTTATATATAATTCAAATATTTTCTTAATCTGTTACTTACAATTTTGTTTGGGGTGCATTTCATCATCCACCATCATCACCACTGCCGCCATCAAGTTAATTCTGACTCACAGTGACTGAGGAGAACTAGAACTGTTGTGCTGGGATTGCATGGCTTCAGTCTCTAAGGGAGCTGGCAGTCTCATTTTTCTCCCATGGAAACATTGGTGGATTTGAACTGCAGACCATGTGGCTAGGAGTCCACTACCATACAGTACGACCAGGGCTCCTAGCCCATCATTAGGGGTATCTATTGCTTTATGATGAGCACTGATATTTTGATTCTGAGAAAGTGCTAGATTTATGAGTTATTTTATCAACTCTAAGAAAAACAAATAACATCATTCATCTCATTATAGGTGATGTCACATGACCTGTAAATGTGAGAATATGGGAAAACAGAAGATTTAACACCAAAACACTATGAATTGAACTCCTACCACTGGAGAAAGAGCAAAAACAACAATCCATGGGCAACAGCAGTACTGCCAATTTCATAAGTTCTCATGGTAAAGTTCAATTCACTCACCCACAGATTTGTCAGCCATGCCCACATCTCTAGATGTCCAGCGACAAAATCCACAGGCCAGGTAGTAGGCTTTCTTCATTGTCGTCTTGGACGGGTCATCTGGGAGCTGTGTGCTGATGCTTGTTGCGCGGGTGGAGAGAGTATGCATGCAGCCAGGACAGTCAAAGCAGTTGGCGCATCTGTAACATGGCAAACAAAACCATTCATTCAACAGATATTTACTAATCATCTACTACATGCCAAGGAGCTCTGGTAGCATAGTGGTTACAAATCAGGCTGTGAACCACAAGGTCAGCAGTTCGAAACTACCAGCTGCTCCAGAAAGATGAGTCTTTCTGCTCCCGTAAAGATTTACAGCCTCGGAAACCCTGTACAGGGTTGCTATGAATCGGAACCGACTCCATGGTACATAACCACCACCACCACTACATGCCAGATACTGTTCTACATGTTAGAATTACAGAAAGAAAATCAACTCTAAGAGAGGAACGGCTCTCAAGCAAAAAAGGATAAAAATTTCCCATAGGCTTTGTGATACCATCAACTTACTTGACACAGGTTTTCTATATATAAAGTCTTCTTAACTCTCACTAAATGATTGGATATTGTTGTTAAATGTCATCAAGTCTGTTCCAACTCATAGAGACCCTGCATAGGGTTTCCACGGCGCACCTGCTGGGTTTGAACCACCGACCCTGTGAGTAGCGGTCCAATACTATTCTGCAGTGTCACACCAGGTGGGACCATGCAAATAGGGTGTACAGGACTCTAACAGAGGGGCGGATTAGTTTTGCCATTTCAGAAGCCATCTCAGAAGCAGGACCAGATGATCCCAGGCCCTTCAGGAAAGAAGAATTATGGGCAGAGGGTGAGAGGAGCAGAGGTAGTGGCATGGGAAGACAGAGCAGGTATGGGCTTCCCAGGCCACAGACTGAGTAAAGCTGACTGTCTATGGAGAGGAGGCTGGCTTGTAGAAAGTGCCCTTTCAGCATTTACAGACAAGCTAAAGGAGTGCTGTAATACTTGAGAGGTCAAAGAGACATGGCTACATTACAAAGAAAAGAGGTTTTTAAAATTTTTCCCCAATGCTTTAATGTGAATTACGTGATAGCTTACATGGAAGAACATTAGCTTTACATTCATCCGATCATATAATCATTTCATTGCCATGGTTACAATCCCCTTCATGCACCATCAACCAACCAAAGGGTATTCCCCACAAACCTGCCCCTCTCAAT